GGTGATGGCTGGAGGCAGCAGAGGTGGCAGAAGGAAGCAGTCTGGTTGTAGTTGGAGATGGCAGTCATCACGGCGCTCTTGGCCCTCTGGAGCCATTGGATTCCTGCCCATTCTTTTGCCTCCAGAAAATTCTGTGGGTCCCTAATATTATTCCATGAAATACTCTTTCTGCTTAGAAGACAGTCTCTATTTCTGCTTTTTCAGCTTAAGTAACTTATGCTACAGCCAAAGAGAACACAGATGTTTGGGCTTTGCTTGATAATAATTATTGTTGAATCTAACTCCCCTTTGTGCAATTTTCTTCTTTCCACATTAACTGGAGAGTAGGTCATGATTACACAGTCTTTGAATGTTTCCAGTGCCTCTAACCGTGACCTTGGGTAACAGAGCAGTTTGTAAATGCGATTTGACTTCACATATAGATCCATTCACTTAGCCAGCTCATGAATTCAGGTCCATGAGACTATATTTAATAATGTGAATTATTAAGTGGGGTACTGGGAACATCTTAGCTACTGCCAGTCCATTCTTAGGACCTGCTCTCCTATGAACACTCATAAGATGGACAGGTAGACTCATGAATGTGGGAACCAGGTATCCTTGGACCCTACCTCAATCAGGAGATAGGATTGTTCTTACTTCATTAAGGGCTTCCCTATAACACCTGAACGACTTATTGTACATTGTAAGTTTTAATAAAACTTTAATGAATTATGAGTATGGTGTTGTCTTGCCAACATGGTAGTCAAACAACTTTGTGTGCAGGACAGGAGTTAGTTTGAGGAGGCACTAAGTTGTGACTTCCAAGTAATAGCTTTGGTTTTATGATTACAGGAATTCATCTTATTAATTCATAGTCCTGCCATTATTCTTTCTCTATTGCTAAATCATAGTCTCCCTGGTGCTAAAATGTATGCCTATTCTCTCTGAAAAAAGTCAAAAGCCTTTTTGATTATAAAATGATGGACCCAGTTTAGACGTATAAAGGAAACTAAAAATACTTCTTTTTTCTTCTGCCTCTGTGGTTACTTGTGTATGCTGAGCGAGAGTCAGGATAATGTCTATTGAATACTCTGAATGTAGAGAGTTCTGAAGGGTCTTCCAGATTGTCCACTGAACCAGCCATCTACTGTGTTTAACTACCTGTCTGGTGTTTGAGTCTGCGAAGGCACCCTATGAGTGTCCCAGTTATGCCGGAATAACCCCACAACAGCATAATTGACTATAAGGCACCAGCCACATTCCCAGATGACTTGTGTGTTTGAAAATATCTCCTACAAATGGAGCCTACATCTCTCTTCCGGCATCCCTATCTTCTGGTCTTGATTGATTTTTGTATATTAATTTATACTCAGCAATCTTGCATTCCTATATGATGCTAACCTATCTGGGATGTCTGAAATTTCCGTTAGTCAATCATATCTGCAATTGAAACTCTGTTTCTTCCTTTCCTTTAATAAGTTTTTATTGCTTTGTGTGAGGGGGCTAGGGAATCAAACCCAGGGTATTGTACATGCTGAGTCAACACTCTACCACTGAGCTGCACCCCCAGCTTTCCTTCCTTGTTTTATTGCATTGACCAGGACTTTCACATGCGAGACAGAAATGGTGATAACAAGGATCCTTATTTTGTTCCTGACTACTGTGGACAAGTACACAGAAAGATTTATTAAATGTTAGTTTACTAATTTATCTTCATTTTTGGTACCTGGGATTGAACTCAGGGCCACTGAGCCACATTCCAGCCCTTTTTTATTTTTTATTTTGAGACAGGGTCTTGCTAGTTGCTTAGGGCCTCACTAAATTATTGAGGCTGGCCTGGAACTTGTGATCCTTCTACCTTAGACTCCCAAATCATGTTGGCAAGACAACACCATACTCATAATTCATTAAAGTTTTATTAAAACTTACAATGTACAATAAACCGTGTAGGTTTTATAGAGATTACATGCATGCTCCACCACACCTGGCTAAATGTTAAATTATTTTCAGGGGTAAATCTGAGCAAGTCATGGTTTGTTGTTATTATTCTGATTTGCTAATGTTTTACACAGGAATTTCATGTTTTTAGTTGAGATTCATCTATAAATCTTCTTTTCGTCCTATTATTTTTCAGTTTTGTTATCAAGGTTCATGTGGTAGGTTCTACCAATTATTTTCCCAGAAGTCACCCTCCTGAGTCACCTCTTTTTTCTTCATTTTCTTTCCTGAAGGCTGTTTTATTATAAAATAATAAAGAAAACACTGGCATGAAATCATATAAGCAACTGATCCTCTATGTTAAAAGGATTATATTTTTGGCCTTGGCATCARCTGGGAAACAGAACTGCAAGAATTGAGAGGGTCCTCCTCCCTTTCTTAAAAGATCATACCCCTCTTGAATAGGAAAGAGAGTCCCTTGAACATCCTTCTCTTGGGAGTTGGGGAAAGACCTTATGTTTAATTGGCCAGAACTAGGTCACATGATCTCACCTCCAAGGGTAATGGAATAAGTGAGTATCTGAGATTTTTATTTAGTTTGACATCAAAAATATATGTTTTCTGTTTGGCATACCTTTTTTTTTCTTTCTATMTATTTTATGATGCCGGAGATTGAATCCAGGGGCACATGCCTGCAAGGCTAATGCTCTAACACTGGGCAACATCCACAGCTGGCTTCCCTTTTTAATTCCCTTGCCTTCTAGGGATTGATTATGTTTTCTTTCAGAAGTTATTTATTGTTTTACTAGTCCCTCACTTTACATTCTGAGAGTACTTACCTGCCTTAAAAAGACTAAATCAATAAACATTTCTCTGCCATTCCTAAACAATATTAGCACCTTAGAGTGTTTTTGTTACCATAATTACCTTTATCTTCTGTTGTCTATTACTTAGATTCTATAAATATACCCCCAATTAGTCATTGTCAGTATTTTTAAAACATTTTCTGCTCATTCATATTTGCTCAAATGTTTACCAATTTATTTATTGCTTCTAGATAACTCTTTCCTTCCTGAACTCAGTTTCCTCTTACTTAAGTACATCCTTCAGTAGTTCTTTCAATGTGGATCTCTGGGTAGTAACCCCTTTCAGTCCTTGATTGATTTTTATGCCCGATTCTCAATTCTAACTTCCCATTTGTGTGGGCCTGAGGCCACATTTCCTGCCCCCTTATGGGATGACACCCCTGACCCCAAGTTGTCAGGGCCTACGCTGGATTCTGATGTCCCATGGCTTTTTCGTCACTCACTGGTATGCTTCCCACTGCAGTTCAAGTCTCCCCCGTTCTCTATTACCTGAGGATTTCCCCTTCTTTGTTTTGAGTCCAGCTTTATATTGTTATATTTCATCCTGTGTTTGTCATAGGAAGTGGGGGAGGGTCTACATTAATCTTTTTAGTTACTATTACTGGAAGTCCACATATTCTATTTATAACAAATTTCCTTTTTACTGATGTTTATGACTCTCCTTTAAAGTAAATATCATATATTTTGATAGAGAAAACAGATATGACAGAGACAGCTGGATGCTTCTTATTCTGTTTCAGCAAAAGTTACAAAGTTTCTAAAATTTTTCTTGATTTTGGTACATAGAGAACATTCCCCAGGCAATAACTTAAGAGAATGTAATCGCCTGCCAAGAAACGGAATTTTCCATAGTTTCTATTTTCCTGCATTTCCTTCACTTCTTCTTGCTCTACAGAGGTGATCCCAAAGGGGAAAACTGTTCAATATTTGCTTCACACCCTCCACACGCAGAATGCCAAACCTCATATAGAGAAATCTGTCTCTGTAAGGAAGCGATCCTCAGGCCAGACCCAGAGCTCAGAGATTCCTTGTAAATCAACAGCTGGTAGAACTGGTTCCAAATCCTGGGAATTCACAGCTTCTAATAAATGAATGGGATCGATCTCATTTGCATTTCATTATGACGCAGGAATTCCCTGCTACTGCATCTCTGGGCAGATAAAAAGGCTTTGGTTTTATCAGCCCCAGGCCATTGCCACCAAGATACTGGCCTGGAACTTCCACCTGCTCTGCTAACAGAACCCAAAGTACAACGCAGAATGGCCTACTTCACCCTGCCAGAGAGTGAAGYCCATGTTGGAAAGGTGAAATCCAAATATGGCTCCTCTGAGAATCGTTTGTGCACATACAAGTCATGGAGAATGGATGAATATTCACAGGGTCAGTGAATAAACTGGGGGTGCTGTCCAGYGAGTAAGTTGGAAAGGCTCTGAATAATCACAAATAGGCCAACCAGAGAGGCCACAGCTGGGTATAAAGTCAGCTGTGGAAAAGCTAATACCACACTGGTTTGCTGGGGTTGACAGCTAACTTTAGTACAATGTATTTCATGTGACCTAGGAAAGAAGTGAAGGGAAGAAGGAGGCCTGGCTGGGTGTATTGGGTGTGGATAAGATCAGACGAGCCCTAATAATCAATTGTGCCACCAGATTAAGAATACATTTCACAAAACAAATGGTATTTTTGCATTAGAAAATGATGGTTTCTGATTCCTTTCCAATGCAGCGTGACAGCCTCTACTTGGGAAAAGTTGGGTTCACTATCACTCTGGTCAYAGGTGCCTATTCATTTTGTCATTTCTCTTTGTGGACACCTGAGTAGCTGCTTGACAGTAAATAGAAATCCTTCTCATCAAGACCACTGCCACCCTCAGACTTTCCCTACAGTTTCTAGGCATCTTTTTCTATAGTTGAAGCCAAACAAGGGACAAGACTAAGTCATTTGATTCCTAAGGTCAGATTTCATCTTGTGTCATCCAAGGGCGGGAAAGGGAAGAGGTGAGTTCCAGTGAAAATGCAGYTGGAGTCCATTTCACAGAAGGCAAGGAGGGTGGGGTCTGTTTTTGGAAGCAATGAGACTGCTGGCTTTAGAGGGTGGGTGAATGGCTCTCCAAGTGACCTTTTCTCTCCTGGACACTCACAGCCTTTATCTCAATGGCACCACGGGCTCGGGGGAAAGGGCCTCCTGTGTGTATCGCCCACTGCCGTGACTCACCTGTTGAGATACACCCGTTTCTCCGTGAACTGCCCATTGCCATGGTGAGGGTCCTCGAAGGGCTCATTCTGGACGACCTCCACCCCTTCTCCTCGGTCACTCTGTTCGTGGCTGTGCTTGCTGATCATGTACAGCTGTCCAATTTTGTACTACAAAGCACACAGAGACAAAGAGGTCAGCCCCCCAGCTTGCCTCTGACAGATCCCCCTCCCACCGTGGCGCCGGAGCAACTAATGACATCAGCACCTTCTGCCGAGACAAGAAAGCAGGCACTCGTGCCTAATGTGACTTCTCTCTGGGAGCGGGGAAGAGAACTAGTTGTGAGCAGAATGCAGAAACGGCATGTGCCTGCAAGTGTTCCGCATCACCTTGGCAAGGGCCCCCGGGGGTGGCCGGCAGTCCTTCCACAGCAGCAGGGGAGCGGAGTGCAGGAGTCTCGCGCTCCATCCTGGTCCTAAGGGTTACGTGGAGCTGATGTCCTATTTGGCTTGGCCAAAGGCTGCCTAGGGTGTGCTGCTTCTGTCCCTGCTTTCTGCCTAACCAGCAGGATTGCTGGACGTGGACGATTATGTGCCTCTACTACCCCTGGAGGTGCTCACCTCTCCTGGAGGCCCTAGCATAGCAGTTCTCACAGGCAACTGGACACCACCTGGAAACTTTTTTTTYCCCCCAGTTCAGGAACTAAACCCACGGAAGCTTAACCACTAAGCCACATCCCCCCCCCCCCTTTTTTTTTAATTTTTCGATAGGGACTAAGTTACTTTGGGCCTCACTAAATTGCTAAAGCTGGCCTCAAACTTGTGATCCTCCTGCCTCAACCTCCAGAGTTGCTGGAATTACAAGTGTGCACCACTGTGCCTGGCTTCCTGGAAGCTTTTTGAGGGGAGAGAGGGGCGGGTACTGGGAATTTAACCCAGAGGTGCTTAATCACTGAGTTACATCTCCAGCCCTTTTCATTTTGAGGTAGGGTCTCACTAACTTGTTGAGGCTGKCTTTGGACTTGTGATCCTCCTGCCTCAGCCTCCCAAGCTGCTGGGATCCTGGAAGCTTTTTCAAGCTCCGAATATCCAAGCCAACAATGGCTGCAACCAAGTCTAAGATCCTAAGTTCCAAAAGGGCGCATCACGTGAGAACCCACCTCAGTATCTTTAACTCCTTTTCATTCAACTCCACTGTAGGTGCCTGGCCTCCCAGCCCAAGTCCCAGAAGCCACATGTCCTACTCTAAAAATGACAAAATGGAGAAACATACAATAGGAACATTTTCTATTCTTCAGGATGTTTCACTCTCCTTCCTGCCTCTCTGAAAATGCTGGGGCCAGCAGGCATTTCGCTCCCCAGTGCACTTTCAAAATGACAAAATTATTTTGATGGGGTGAGGAGACAGGAGGCAGGAAAACAATGTTTGCATGAGAAACTAGTCTGTTGAGGGTCAGAGGCAGAATGATGYGACCCTGCTCAGTCCCTCCTGCAGATGAGGCGTGAGGTAACACAGACAGAAGTCATTGCCACCAAGACTCTGAGACTTGGGAGCGGGGCCTGAGTCTGCAGCAAGCTAATGATGACTCTGGTTTGTTCTCAAAAGGACTCTGGCCAGACATCTCCCRGGCCTACGTGCATAAGAGAGAAATGAATGAGCCAGCAGTGTACACGMGGTGGAAGGACCCTCTCGTGCTGAGGCAGGTGCAGGGATGGGAGTGTGAAGAAGCTCCAGGCTGAGGGACCAGGCCCAGTAACCATGACGACAGGAGTGGGCTGGAGCTGGCTGGGTCTTCTCTAAGGACTATGCTTCCCATCTGGGCCACACCCCTCTTCAGAAAGGTCTGTGTTTAAAAATGCTTTCAATGTGAGTGCATTTGTGCAGATGCAGGGAGAAGAGAGTGCTGAGGATAAGAGCAGGAAGAGGAAACTGGAAGATCAAATCCATTTTAAAGATGAATTAGGATCAGGATCAAAAGCTTGACCTGGCTTCCCTGAGGTCCAGTTCTGCTTTTACTTTTGCTTCCAAAGACTACAATGCTCAGGGCTGAATTGTAGCTCACTGGTAGAGTGCTTGCCTAGCATGGGTGAGGCACTGGGTTTAATTCCAGCGCCAATATAAATAAACAAAAATAAAGGCCCCAAAAAGGAAAAGGAAAAAAAAAGACTATAATGCTCTTTCAAAGTGGGCAGTAAGAACAAGCTCACAGATTGGAGATCTGAGAGCTATACCTTGAGATCAACGCCCCACCTTACACTGATAGGAACAGGAGGCTGAATAGGGTGCTCAGCTGCTCAGGGGCATGGCCTTCACTGTCAGGTACTTTGGACTTGATGTTGAAAAAAATATATGTTTGTTTGATGGAAAATTATTCAGCCATAAAAAAGAATGACATACTTATGCTGAAACTGCTTACTGGGCATTGTGGGTTGAAGTATGTCCCCTAAAGTTCACATGGTTAAGTCCGAACCTCAGAATGTGACCTTATGTGGAGATAGGGTCTTTATAGAGGTAATCCAGCTAAAATGTTATTAGGACGGGCCCTAATCCGACRTGACTGGTGTCCTTCTTATGAAAAGAGGAATTTGGACAGAGTCAGAGAGGCCAGAGAAAGGTGAAGAAATGATGGCCATGTACAAGGAACAGACTCTCCTTCACAGCTTCCAGAAAGCAGCAGCCCTGCTGACACCCTGACTTCAGACTTCTGTCCTCTAGGATTGGGAGATAATACCCGTCTATAGTTGTAAGCCACTGAACACGTGGTGTTAGTCATGCGGCCTTAGAAAATTAGTACAATGGGTATAAGGGGTCTTTGGGCGGGGGGGATAAAAGTGTTTTGGATGGCAATGGAGGAAGCCCAACATTACGAAAGTTCTGGATGCTGCTGTTACGTGACTTTCATCTCAATTTTTTAAAAGGGGTAGACTAGATTCAGGAACAGACATCCTTAACCAAAAGTCCCTATCTTCAAGTGTGTGGGGTTTACAGAAGAGCTGGGCCAACATCAGACCATCTGCAAAAGCTCCAACTCACTCACATATTAAAAAATGTATAGTACCAAGGTCAACACATGACACAGAAAAGCCATTAGCCAGAAGCGAGTCAGCCCTGGCTGGGCTCAGTTCAAGTGCTTCCTGCTCTGCAGGGACAAGAACAGAACAGGGAGGCAGTGTAGGCTGATTCACGGGTGGCCAGTGGAGGGCCCAGCCTCACGGATCATTCTAGCGTCTCCAGCGCAGGGCAGACGCCAGCCTTAGCTCACTGTGACAGCATCGGTCTGGGGGTGACCTGTAGGTGCGGGGGTTGGCAGGATACTCAAGCCCAGACACCCAGATAGGCAAGGCTCTGTGACTGTCCTCTCTGTCCCTCCCAAGAAAATCAGGCTGGCTCTGCTCTTTGTTTGTGGTCATTGGAGCTGGGCCATCCAGAAGCAGTTTATGATGTTGTTTTGTTTTTAAAGCACAAATTGATTCGCAGACATAATCAGCAAACAGTTTGGCCCCGAAACCACTTGTTTTCTACATCACTGAGGATCCTCCTAAAAATGCCAAATCCCAGAGCATTCTAGAACTACATTCAGCATCGAGTGAGTGTTTGAATAAGGGGGAATTCAGTGCTGAATCCCGAGGCAGAGGACGGTGGGGGAATTCRTCAGTGCTTGCTCAGGCTGGAGTGTCCCTTCTTTAGGATGGCCTATTCTTTACCCACACATACCCACCCCCCTGCCACCATTGGTACTGGGAAATGAACCCAGAGGATCTTTACCACTGAGCCACATCTACAGCCATTTTTATTCTTTTTATTTTGAGACAGGGTCTCACTAAGTTGCTTTGAGAAACTAATGTGACTCCATTTTTGAGAAACCAGCCTCTACCTCAGAGCAAAGCCTATCCAAGGAAGGGGGCGTGACCCTTGTCCTTGGAAAAAACCCCAGAGCACTCCCAGGCACATACCCACCCTGCTGAGTTGTTTTTCTGTAAATAACAGGAGAGGTATGAGGCTCCAGCCTAACTAACTAGTCAGTTAGGCTAGGTTAGGACCCATAGCAACCCCCCTAGCAACCTCCAATCAGCATGAAACATGGAAAATACCTGGAATGCCAGATGACCCCCAAGTAGTTTATGGTGGTTGATAACATGTTGGGAAACCATGTAGTTTAGCACGTACACCCCTCGTGGCCTAAACCAGTCAGTTCAAAGGAATCCCCCTCTTGTACTAACCAATCACCCCTTCCCAACTTGTTCCCACCAGTGAATGTGCTAATCAATGTTAAGAGTTGTTGTTTGACTTTCCTGCGGTATGGAATGATTTGCTGTGTGATGTTGTGGCGCATAGAGTATCCCCCTCAAAAACCTAGAAAATCTCACTGAACAAAGGACCGGGAGACTCACTCCCTGGGACTGCTGCGTCGGAACGGTTGTGAGTCCAGGCTCGAGCTTGCAATAAAGACTCTTGTGTGATTGCATCGGATTCGGCTCCTGGAGGTCTATTGGGGGTCCCACGAATCTGACATAACAGCTTAGGACCTCGCTAAATTGTTGAGGCTAGCCTCAAACTTGCCATCTCCAGCCTCAGCCTCTGAGTCGCTGGGATTACAGACATGTACCACAGTGCCCAGCTAGGAGGCCTATTTCTTTTTGCCTTTTTTGTACTAATGTCTTACAAGGTTCCATCCTTAACTGAGTAAAAATACCACATCTCTGATCACTACTGCAAACAAACTTGTATGTTGAAGGAAGGCCTCAAAATCCAAAGACGCAGAGGGTTCTGAAGACCTCAGACTTGGTAACAGAATTGATGATGATGATGATGATGATGACAGCATTGCATAACTTTAGTGACTGCCCATTAGCAAGAGGTACTGATTAAGTGTTTTGTATTCATTTCTAATACAATGATTCAGCCAGGTAGATCTCTACAATTGAGGAAACTAAGTCTTAGAGAAGTCAAAGACTTTCTGTAGTTTCTACACAACAGAGCTGGGATCTGTGCACCACAGGTCAATAATACTCTTTCTACTCCACCTGTCTTTGGGCCTTATATCTTTCACAGGTGAATTGATTTAACAAGTCTGATTTAAATCACTATGATTTAAAAAGATGGGGGTTGTCAGAAAGTCATGCCTCTGAACTTTGCTATTTCAGAAGTTGAGTAACAAAAGTCTGACTGA